ATCCAAAAATGGGTCCCCCACTTCCCAAAAGCTGTGGCGGAGGGGTTAAAACAGTTTGAGGGGGGGGTGTCACTCTTTTGGGGGGTGGTTGGAGATTTTTGGGGTGTTCGTTAACATTTTGCGAGCCGTTTACCTGTCGCGCCGAGGCTGGACGTATCGCTTTGCTGGTTAATCGGGGCGGGGCGGGGAATAAATAAATAAATAAAGTGCTTCGATTGTGATTTGAACCAAAACTCACATAAATCGAGCCGATGTGGCGCCGAAGAGTGTCGGTGCGTACCCTTTTTTCCCAGGGTTTAGGTGAAAAAACCCCCCAAAAAGGGAAGAGAGAGCGGCAAAGACGAGGCGTTGAGCGTGTTTTCTGGGCGTGTATGCAAATCCCCAACTCGTGGGTGCTGAAGCGTGACGCCTGTTTTGCCGAAAGGCCGCGCTGCCGGATTCCCCTCCCGGCGTGGGCAGCGGCCAGCGGCTCCTGGAAGATTTGGAATTTCACCGACGCGGTGTTTAACCCCCGTAGGTGTCACCGTGGCGGTTTTATCTATAATCCCTAAAAAAACCCCTCAAACCCGTGCGGGAGCTGCCTTCAAATTCCCGCTGGCGGCAGAGCTCCCGCGGCGTCACCGTTTCTCCCCCAAAACCAAACCTGTCGTCCCCACATTGACCGAATCCCACGGTCCACCGAAAAGGCGTATTTTTGTGGAGGGAAGAGCGCAGTCTCGCGCTTGTTTCGCCGCCCATTTGCATGTCATCGACACCCCAGCGCGGAGAAGGAACTGAAACCTCAGGGCCAAACCACCGGCCAAAATGGGGTGCCGGAGGCGGCGAGGGGTGTGCCGGGGCGCGTGCCGAGGGGTTTAACTCTCTGCCGGGCGCCTGCGCGGCTACTCTCCCCGGCAAAGCATGGCCCGGCAGGAGACCTACGGCAACTGGTTGGGTCCCCCGCCGGCGCCCACCAAGCGGCTGGTGAGACAAGCAGGTAAAATTGGAGAGACACCGCGCTCTCCGTGTCCTTGGCGTGTGTTTTCGGGGCCGGCCTCCGTGTCCGTGTGTTTTCGGGGCCGGCGCGGCGGTTCCGCCGGCGGGGCACCGCTCACCGCTGTCCGAATCCGCCGGCGGGGCACCGCTGTCGTACAGAGCAGGGCGAAACGCCTTTGGGGTGGCTCAGAGTCGTGCGGGTCCCGCTCTGCGCTCAAGAGCTCCTAAATCTCCAGGTTTGACCCCAATTTTACGTATAAACGCCACGCCAGACCTTAAAAAAAAAAGCAGCATCAGCAACTTCCTTGCCGGTGGCAACAGGGTTAGAAGAAGCGCTAGTGGTGGTTTTGAGGATTCTCCCCTTATCCTCAACGCTCTTTTCCTTTCCTTTTCGGCAGGAATTTACTCCGTTGCTGGGAAAATGACACCCATGGGTGACTTCAGACCGGGTAAGTCATCATTTTTTCACCTTTTCAGGCTTTTTTGTAGCGCGGATTGAAAGCAGAACTCCCTGAGGTGCCTCCCGGAGGCCGAACTGGGCTTTATTTTCAGCTTCGTTAGTCAAACGTGTCTCGCTATACGCGGCGTTTCTCTCCAAATTTGGCTCCTTCCGTCAAACGAGATCAAATCGCCCCCAAAATATCCTGAAAGTCCACGCTGGGGGGACTGAGAGGGAATTTATCGCTTCATCCTCACCCTCGGAGCCAGCGTTTGCACCTTCACAGGCTCAAATTCATCCCCTCCCGCTGCAGAGAGCTTCAAACTTCAGCAGGATTGCTTAGATTTGCAGCCGAGGGGAGAACCGGGCTCCGAAAGGGCGGAGTGACGTCATAAAACTCTATAAAAACGATGAAATCAATATATATTGAGAAAAGGGTGTAAAAACTTTGCCGGAGGTGCTGCGGATTTACCGAAGGGGAAGGGAAATTGCATTGCCCCATCCCTGGAAGTCTTCAAGGTCAGGTTGGACGGGGCTTTGAGCAACCTGGTCTAGTGGAAGGCGTCCCCGCCCCATGGCAGGGAGCGGTTTGGAACTGGATGATCTTCAAGGTCCCTTCCAACCCAAACCATTCCGTGATTCCATGATTTTTCACGCTTTCTGAAGGACTGAGCTGATCGTTAATGGCTGGGATTCCCAGTTGGTGTAAAACCCCGATTTTCACCTGGTTTTTTTCCTCTCACGTAGCGTCCCCGGACAGCTTCGAGGATGATTATGATGATGTGTCCCTGTCGGAGTCGGATCGTGGCTACAAGCCGCCGGCGGCCGATGAAGATCTGCAGAACCAGAGGAGCAAAGGAGGCACAGGTAGCACCCACCTCCTCTCCCCGCACCGCCTGTGCGGTCGAGGACCTCCGCGGGGCAGGATTTGGCCCTAAAATGCCCCAAAAACATCCCCCGGTGACTCTTTCCTTCCTCCCAACAGGGGTTTACATCCTGGCAGGGAAACCGGCATCTCTAAATCCTTCCCAAAAGGGTGAGTCACTCTCGACCGATGCCGCTATCCCGCAGCGGAGACCTCGGCCGGATCCAGACCCGGGAAGCTGGGATTCCTCCCCAGTTTCTTCCGCGCTGCTCTCCGCAGGTGACCCGGAGTCCAGAGGTGGCAGGGGACAGAGCCGCAGGATGACGTCGGTGGCCATCCTCTACATCCTGGTAGCGCTGAGCTTCATCGCGTGGGTGCTGCTCTTCGCGCTGGCCATGGTGAAGCGTAAGTGTCCCCGGAAGGGTCCCCGCCGGGCCGGGAAGCAGCTGGTTTGCTTAAAACACCCCCAAAAAAAGCATTTTCACTGTTAAAAATAACACGTGGCTTGTGCCCGCGATGCTTTAAATGTCCGTCCACGTGGAAACTGCAGCTAAAGCCCGTCCGTCGTCACGATTTGGTTTTAATTCCACCTCGGCATGTGAATTTTAGGGTTTTATCACCAAATTGCCCCCAGTGTGCTACATCTGGGTGCTGCCTCCTTCTGCCTGCGCCAGCAGCACCGCCCATTTGCTACGGGGTGTATATCCAGAGTAAATCCACCCTGGAATTCCCCACTCGGCCCCAAAAAAGCCATAAATTGGGCAAATTTAGACGCCGCTGGCGATTCCTCGGTATGATCCAGCCATGTTTTTTCTTTCGTTTTCATTTCAGAGATGGAAATCATG